AACGGAGCAGCTGCAGTTATTTAAAGCTCTGCAGCTGCTCAGCCCCCTCCTGTGCCACCTGTGGGTACCACCAGGCATGAGATGTCCTCAGCTGACCTCAGCATCTCCTTCCAGGTACCCGCATCTGAGCCCCAAATACAAGGAGTCCTTCGACGTGGGCAGTGACATCTTTGCCAAGTTCTCGGCGTACATCAAGAACTCACGCAAGGAAGCAAATAGCAGTAAGGAACGGGAGCTGGGGAACCCCAACTCCTTTCAGCACAGCCTGGTAGGGGCTCAGGGGGGGGACCGGGCCCCTGCATGATGCCACGCTTTTCTCTACCCGCCCAGACCTGGAGAAGGCTCTGCTGCGGGAGTTTCAGCGGCTGGATCAGTACCTCACCACCCCACTGCCTGAGGAGATCGACCAGGACAGCATGGAGGACATCACCGTCTCCAAGAGGAAATTCTTGGATGGGGACCACCTGACGCTGGCTGACTGCAACCTGCTGCCCAAGCTGCACATCATCAAGGTAAGGGACACCCAGAGCCAAATCTGGTGTCCTCTCCACACCCAGTGGTGCTGGTGAGGCCTCAGCTTCATTCTTCCCTCCAGATCGCAGCCAAAAAGTACCGCGACTTCGAGATCCCAGCTGACATGACGGGTGTCTGGCGCTACCTCAACAACGCCTACGCCTGTGACGAGTTCAGCCACACGTGTCCTGCAGACGAGGAGATCGTGCACACCTATGCCAGCGTGGCCAGGAAGATGACCTAGCCCCCTGCAGGACATCACCTCCCACCAAACCCTGGCCAACAGAGGGGCTGGGGGAGGGGGGGTTGTGGCATCCCTGCACCCCAGTTTTTGGAAAGAGCGCCTTGCTTTGCAGCCCCCACGTGCCACCAGCGTGGACCGTACCTATGGACTGGTCACCGTGTGGCTGTGGGGGGAACCGTGTCCCCACCCCTACAATTCACATGGCACACGATGGGAAAAGTCAAGCACAAGAGCACCTCTGCTCTTGTGAGGCCCCATCTGTTGTGGAAGAGCTGAGATCTCTCCCAGTGTGTCCCTGAGATGGAGGAGATGGAAGAGATGGCACGTCCCTACAGGGTCCCACCACCACCTGTGCTCAGGCAGTCTCTTCTCCTGAGGCATCCAGACTCCAACAAGCTCTTCCCCTACAATTTATCTGTGGCAATAATCGACAGCGTGCATCCATCTCCTCAATTGGACAGCAGGGCAGGGAGATGCTGGGGACAGCACCAGGGATCTTCTGGTGGCTGGGAAAGAAGAGCTTTGTGGGTTCTCCTAAGAGATCTGCAGCTCCGGGGTATTCCAGCACTTGGCGCTGGCTACGAGGTTCCAACTGGCTCTGAGATCTTGGAGGGCCCCAGGGGAGATGCAGCTCCACCTCCCTGCTCTGCATCAGCCCCTCCCCACCTGAGCTGGAGAGAGGCACAGGCAGAGCATCCTTCTGCTTTCTGCAATGCAGCCCCAGGCAGAAGCTGCTGTGTCCATAGGAGATACCTGGACAGCTTTGGTCCTACCCGCGCTCCCTGGTTAGCATTGTTCCTCCCATTCCACTGCCAGAGAAGTCAAACCCCCAACCTCCCTCCCCATGCCTCCAGATCCTCCCAGGGCTCCCACCAACACAGTCAACCCCCTCCAGCCCCCACGGCCAGCAACAAATACTGTACAGTGAGTGTGAGGGTCCCATGCAGACCCTCGCTGGCAGAGCCACCCGCCAGCTCTCACTGCCACCTCCCTCTTTGCACTAAAAGGTGTGTCCTTGCAAGCCTGCTTTTGGTAGCACAGGTTTTGGGGACTGTTTTTTTTATATTGATGAGTTTTGGGTTGTTTGGTATTGTTTGGTTTTTCTCTTTTTTTTTAATTGTAACTAAAGACAGCAATAAACTCTATTTTAATACGCCTTGCTTGTGTACTGTCAGCACGTGGCCTCTGGGCACAGGGTGGGCAGAGGGAAGGAGGGAAGGAGGGACCTCCCATGCACGCAGGGCTTCTCTCACAGCCTACGTTTGGTGATGCAGCATTGCCAGAAGCAAGCAGGAAGAGAAAGGTGAAGCTGCTGATGTGAGGGGCTGCAGCACTGCTTGGCTGTGGGCAAAACACTCAAAGGAAGGGTGATGCCCACCCATCCCCCCAGCCTTTCGAGTCATTTCTAGCAGCACAGTTAGGGATCTGCATGCCTTTGTCCACACAGTGAGCACCTCTGTCCCACACCACGGTCACCCTCCTGCCCAAGACATGATCCATGCCTCTCCACCCCAAGGTGTGACCAACCTCAATCCCAATCCCTGAACCTTTCACCTCAATCCATGATCCACCCCAAGGCCAACCTTGATTTCCGTGGCCCCTCAGTGGGAGGAGTCCCAGAACCCACTGGGACACGGGCACACACTCCTCATGTTTAGTTGCTGAGGGTCCTGCTCTGTCTCTTCCCTGAAGAGCATCCTCAGCACCTCTCTCCCTCCATGATTGGCCCCACACCAACCCCACCTTCATGCCCAGCTGCCCTCGAGCCTTGGCACCCCTCACTGCCATGAGCTTGATGTTCCTGGCTCTCTCTGTTTGGCACAATCAGAGCCTGCTCCAGGCTCTGGGATGGCTGGAGTCCTGCTGGAGGCTGCTGTCAGCCATAAGAACAGCTGCCCCACCAGCTGGGTCACCTGTTGGCATCGGGTCTGGGTCCAGTGCTGCACAAAGAGGAGGGGAACCCTCCTGGGGTGCCCCCAGTGCGTCTGTCTGTCCATCCCCAGGGGCAGCACATTGCATTTCTCATTGCTGAGCCCCACAAAACCCTTCGGACCTCATTCCAGCCCACACAGATCCCCCTAGATGTCAGCACCACCCTGTGGGGCTGTTGTCACCAGCATTTTGTCACCTGCAAGCTGCCTGAGGACGCACTCTGTCCCTCCATCCAGGTCACCAGCGGAGCTGCTGGACAACATTGGTCCTCATGTAAGATGTGCTTCCACTGACCAGCCTGCAGCTGGACATTGTCATCATCACCCTTGGGATCCAGCTCACCCACTGCTCACTTATTGACCCTGATAAGGATGCTATGGAAGGTGGTGAGGAGCAAACAGCATCTGCAGCCTTCAGGACAGGTGGGGAAAGTTCCCATACCGAGATTCTCTCTGCCATGAAAGTCAGCTCTGTGTCCTGGCAGGCCATGCTGGTGCAGCTGCAAAGGGTTAAGTGCAGCTTGAGGCGTCCAGTTGCTCCTGCCTCGGAATCCAGCTGGCTGCGGTGCTTTCCAAATCTCTTTCACCCATTGCTCCTCCAGCGCCTGTCTGTGCACAGCCCCAGCAAGCTCCCACCACGCTCTGCTGGCTCCGAAGGCATTCCCAAGCACCCAGCTTGGGTATTTTCCCTGTGTCAGACATGTGATGGAGTTGCTAAAGCTCTGGAAGTCCCCGTGAGTCAGCCAGGCAGTGAGAGGAGAGGGGAGGCCGCTCGTTTCCCAGAAACAACAGCAGTGTGCCGTGGTGGGGCTGCGTGCTGCTTGTGCCATTGCTTTTGGGGTAGGTGGGAGCAGTGCTGCGGAGATGGACCCCACTTCTGGTGGGGCTGGGAGCAACATTGAAACAAAGCTCGTGGATCCACGCATCCAGGCCTGTAAGTAATGCAAACAGAGCGACCTGAAGGCGCCTTGAGACATCAACACTGCAGCGAGATGTGGGTGGGATGGGGTCGAGGAGCACCGTCCTCCTGCCACAGCCACCTCGATCCCGTTTCCATCCATCAGATGCCAGGTGCGGATCCCAAAGGCACGCTGACCTTCTGCTGCCTCCTCCCGACTGCCGGCACTTGCCAGGCGTGCCCAGAGGAGGGCACTGCCAGCCCAGCACGTGGGATGGGAATCACAGAACGGCCCGGGCTGGAAGGGACCTCAAGGATCACGAAGCCCCAACCCCCTACTGCATGCAGGGCCACCAACCTCCACATTTCACAGCAGCCCAGGCTGCCCAGGGCCCCATCCAACCTGGCCTTGAACACCTCCAGGGATGGACGGGGCATCACAGCCTTTCTGGGCAGCTGTTCCAGCACCTCACTGCTCTCATAGCAAAGAACTTCCCCCGACATTCAACCTCCATCTGCCCTCCCTCAAATTCCCCTTGTCCTGCTGTCATCTCCCCTTTCCAAGAGTTGATTCCCCTCCTGTTTGCAGGCTCCCTTTAGGAAATGCAGGCTGCACTGAGGTCACCCCACAGCTTTCTTTTCTCCATGCTGAACAAGCCCAGCTCCCTCAGCCTGTCTTCGTAGTGGAGGTGCTGCAGCCCCCCGATCACCTCTGTGGCTCCTCTGGACCCTCTCCAACAGCACCCTGTCGTTCCTGTACTGGGGGCTCCAGACCTGGACGCAGTGCTGCAGATGGGGCCTCACAAGAGCAGAGCAGAGGGGGACGATCATCTCCCTGCTCCTGCTGGCCGCCCTTCTTCCAATGGAGCCCAGGATCCCGTTTGCATTCTGAGCTGCAGCGCACACTGCTGGCTCACGTTCAGTTTTTCACCCACCGGGACCCCAGCTCCTTCTCTGCAGAGCTGCTCTCAAGGAGTGCTGCTCCCTGCAGAACCCTGCCCCCGCTCTCCGCTCTCTGGATGGAGCTCAGCTCTGTGACACTGAGCGATACAAACACCCTCTGCTATCCCCCGCTGGGCTGTTTCTCACACGGAGCCGTTGCCAGCTGCATTCTCCTCATTGCTTTGAAGCAGCATCGTCAGAAGCTCAAACCGCCGCCACCCGAACATCGCGGCGCTCCGTGATGCCTCACACCTCCCAGCCGATGCAAAACCAAAACCTCGCCGAGCCGAGCTGCCAAAATGTCACAAAGCTTCGCCTTTTTCCACTCTCACCTTTTCTGTTTCACGCTCTTCTGCTGCTTCACCCCCCCCGGGGCGGGCGGCACAGCGGGGCCACGAAGCACGAAGGGACGGATGGAGAACCCTCTGGTTGCAGCAGTGCCCTGTGGCACAGAGGCTCCAGGCACGGCAAAGAGCTTTCAGCAATAAATTAGTATTATTGAAAAAGTAATAACAACTGCACAGTCCTGACAAATTGAAAAAAAAACACCAAAAAATCTCTAACAGAGAGATGTCTGTGTGTGCACATGTACAGATCTGCATCAGGCCATGCCCTGTTCACGCACACATCTACAGCTACAGGGGGATAAATAAAGATGTGGGGGTTGGGTGGTGGCTCTCACTCCTCGCACTCTGCTTCAGGAGCCCCCAGCAAGGCAAAGCGATGCTCTGGGGGTGCTGCTGCCTCCTCCTCGTGAGGTGTGCCTGTGTGCCAGCTGGGCAGCATGCAGGGACAGCCCCGTTGCTGCGTGCTGCTGTCATCCACCCCCAGCTCGGTCCCCGGTAACCTCACAGAGCTGAGTGGTACCCAGGACCCAGCTGCGTCCTCCTGCAGCTCACCAGGGCTGAAGCTGATGGTGTTCAGGGCAGGAAGAAGGCTGCTGCCAGCTCCAAGAGCTGTGGAATAAAGCTGGAGGTGCGGGGAGAGCCACGTCTCTGATGTCCCATAGTCCCCATCCATCACGCTGCTGGCTGGAGACACCGCCGCTGCATCCCTGTCGCTTTCATCCTCGTCCTCCTCCAGTGCTGGTGCCCAGGAGCTTGGCTGGGAGCTGGGTGCAGTCCTACCCTCGTGCCACTCCATCCCAAACCCATTGGGGCAGTAACCGCTCCTCTCCTGGAAACACCACCCCCCCAGCAGCAGTGGGGGGGGTGCTGGGTGCTCGCTGGGGGCTGGCAGCAGTGGGGCTGGTGCATCCTCCTGCAGCTCCAGGGTGGGCACCGCAGAGCTGCTGGGCAGCAGAGACTGGAGGGAAGCAGACAGCAAAGCGATCAGCGCTGGTGTGCTACAACCACAGCGCTGCTGGGTGCTGGTGCCGGGCAACCCCTTCACGCACAAGCAAACCCAGTGCAGAAGCCAATCCTTGGCACTGATACCAGCAGGGTGGGCTGACCAGCTGGATGCCTCCCCCTGTGCTGCATGGGGAACTGCTTAGCCTGGCCGGTCACCCTGAGCACTGGGATATGGGAATGCAGGGGGCAGTGGGATGCGGGGAGCCTGGCTGTCCCTGCTCACTGCCGTAGGGAACAGGGATACACAGCTGAGAACACTTCTGGTCAGCTTCACCCTGGTGCTGCTCCAAGGGTAGAGCTCACATTCTCTGCTCCAGCAGAACCACGGCACTCCGGTGGGGCTGCACCCCTCGCAGCAAAGCCAAAAGCAGCATGGCATGCACGGGGCTGCAGACCCCAAGAGCCCTGTGTGAAAGGTGGTCACTCACCAGCATTTTTGGGAGGTGCATTTCAGAGGACTTTGGGAAGATGTACACACAGGTCAGGCAGACAGCAGGCACACTCAGCAGTGGGAGGGCAGCAACCAGCGCAGCCAGGAGCACCCAGGGGAAGGCTGCAGGGAAAGTCCCCATCAGCCCCAGTAATGGCATCCCACTAGCTGGGTCCAGCCCCAACCTGAGGGCTCCACGTGGGCTGTGTGACCCACATCCTGCCATGTGTCCTCAGTGACACTGAACTTTCACCTGCAGGACCTGCTGGTGTCATCAGGCACTGCTCAGCCTCCAGGCTCCGCTGTGGGGCTATGCCCACTGCCACCGTGCGGATGCAGTACTGCATGCTGGGCATCAGGAACCTGAAGGTACACGATGCTTTCCTGGTGGTCCACCTGCAGGGCACCTGCAAGCAGAAGGCCAAGGTCCCAAGTGACTGTAACACAGTGGCAAAGGGATGCTTTCATCCCATAACCATTCATTTTGTATGATGCACACAATCTGGAAGAAGGAAGGGATCCCCAGGCCAGAAGACCCATCTTTGGGATGCAAACCACCCCTATCTCCTACCCTCTTGTCCACATGTGGGACAACCTTGTGGGTACCACCAATTCCAAGCCCTCGTGCTATCACCCAAACACAACGGGATACGGGCTCCAGAGCAGCCCCGTGCCCCCTCCCCTGGGCCCCCTGCCCCACCACGCACCTCCTGCTGCAGCACATCCCCATGGTACAGACGCAGGTGGTACCGCAGCTTCCGCAGCACTCTGCTGAGCGGTTTGTAGGATCCATGCCTGCTCTGGTACGGGGTGAGCGGTGCACTGAGTTTAATGCTGAGGTTGTGGCCCTGGAGCTGCCAGGATAAGGTGGGGGGGCCCACAATTGCTGTAGGGAGAGGGAAAAAATAAAGAGGAGGCGGCACAAAGCCCTTCGCAGCATGAGGTGGGTGTCTTAAAGAAGGAGATGGGTGTCTTAGCTCTTCAGGAACGATCGTTCTCTGGGAATGATGCTTCTCCCACCTCTTGTAGGACCCCCCAAGAGCAGCAGGAATGCAGATGAAGGCTCCTTACTGTCTCTGTATGGCAGCAGCTCGTTGGAACTGACCCACGGGGACGACTCGCCATCCTGCACTGCTCTCACCCTCGCCCAGTAGATACCATGGATGTCATCACAACGCAGCTCACACGCCCAGGATGAGCCGGTGCTGTTCCCCCCACAGGTGTCTGCCCTGGTCCAGCGGGAGGTTCTGCCCATGGAAACAACGACAGGATAGGAAAATCCATCACGCATCTACTGTGCCTGGCCAGCTGGGGTTGGGCAGTGAGGTGTGGGGCTGGGGGGGAACCAAGCACCGCCTGTGCAGCAGCGATGGCTTATTGTGTGCTGGAGAGCCCAGAGAAGGTCCAAGAGGATGAGCTTCTAGGGGAGAGCTTCTGATAGTTGGGGCATCTGTGGGATGGGGCTGAAGGCTGGGAAGGCTCAGCCCCAAAAGGCTTGGAGCAGAGGGACCCAATCCACACGGAGAGGAGCAATGATCTTGGTGATGCCCAGTGGAAGGGCAGAAAGCGTGATTTGAAATGAAGATGGATTGAATGGATTGAAGAATTTCCATTTAAGCATGAGGGGGAAAAAAAACCCAACAAGCCTAAACCCAAAAGAAACCTAAAATCCTTTTTCTTGATTTTACCAACGGGGACCAACAGAGGGAATGGGGCGACCAACAGCAGAGGGAAAGGGGCGCCTCCATCCTTGAAGGAGGTCAGAACCCAGGAGGGCCCCTCCTGAGCAGACCCTGCCACTGCGTTATTATGGGATGTTCGCTGCAGGGAAGCAATCCTCGGGCTCCACCTACCTCTTCCTCCACTCCACCTGGTACGCGGTCCCGTTCGGTGCCTGCGGGTCGGGCTCCCACCGCAGCTGCACGTGGAAGTTCTGAGCCCACAGCCGCACCCCCTGGGGCGGCAGCGGTGTACCTGGGGGGGGGCAGAAGGACGTCAGGCTGTTTGCTCCCCCCGGCAGCACCCCATCAGCAGCACGCCCCTTCCCTCCTTGGCCACGCTGCGCCCATCGCAAGGCTTTGCCCAACCACCCGCCCTCCGCGGCACGTTTTGGGCTCACCTCGCAGCAGGGCGCAGCTGGCCAGGGACAGCAGCAGGCGCAGCGCAGGGCTCATCCCGTCCCCATCTGCTCTACATGGCCGCGCTGGGTCCCTCGGCGTGCCCGAGCACTTGGGCCACCAGCGACCACCATGGGCGGCCAAAACCTGAGTGCACGAAATAAAACCCAACGGCGTTATTTGTCCCCAAAGCCACAGCGCTGTGCCTTCCCCACGGAGGCTGCGAGCTCGGAGTGTGCACTGCAGTGAGGTGGGGACAAACCCCCACGGGGCTGCGGTGACAAAGGGACACGCGGCTGCCACGGGAGCCGTGCTGCGGCCGCCCGGCTGTGCCCGCCCGGTGCTGGGCAGTGCCACCCGATGCGGGTGCGTCTCAGGAAGCGATGGCATCTCAGTGCCGCCCTGCTGGGACCGGACACCAGGGGACGAGCGTCCCGTCGGTGAAACGGGGCTCCCCAACCACCCCAAAGCCCCGCACCCCATCGAGCCGGGCAGCACCCGAACCCGACGGGATGGCTTCTCCCTACAACCGCGCTCTGACCCACCGCGTACAGCGGCAGCTCCGTTCTCCCCGTTGTTCCCCAACCCGTTTTGCCACCCCGTGCCGCCGCTCCACCCTACCCGCAATCACAGCGTGGGGGGGGGGGAAAGGGGTGCGAGCCTCAACCCCTTCAACCCCTCCAACCCCACCGCCCCCCGCACCCCACATCGCTCCCCGCTCAACCTTTCCCCCTCCCCCCGGGCCGCCCGCCCGCAGGCACGGCCCACCTCCACCAGTGCGCTCCGTGCCCGCCCCGACTGCGCCCGGATGCGTCCTGTGACGGTGCTGAGCTGATGTGCTTTGGTGGTGTGGTTGTGTTGTTTTTTTTTTAATTCCACCCCCGGGTCAGGTTTCTTCTCTTTTTCTTCCTCATTGCCCGGCTCACCTCGCTGCCAGCTCAGCAGTGCCCTCTGCTCCCCAGCACATCGCCTCTGAGCGGCGCTGGGTGCGCAGCGCACAGCACGGTGCTCCTCCAGTCCCCTGCGAGGTGAGCAGCCCCGGCTGGGCTCCTCGGGCACGGCGCTGTCACGAGGACACACAGCCACTGGACGGACGGACTTTAATGGCATCCTCACTGAGAACAGCTCATTGCCACCCCAACCCCGACAGACACGGCCATCAGCCCTAATGGCCACGTGTGTCACTCCTGGGGAGGATGACAGCGAGGCAGGCGGTGCCCAGGACTCCGATCGGACAGGGTGACCCCACAGGGATGGGGCAGGGGATGTTTCAGCCATCCCAGCACAGGGAAAAGAGCATTCCAAGAGCTCTTCGGTGCTGTCAAAGGCTCACGGGAGCAAACGCTCGTCCCTTCTGCACGTTTCCACTTCCGACATCACCTCCAGCACCCCCTGCTTTGCTCGCAAGGCTGGGAACACCCCTGAATAGATCTGGGCACCACTGGGGCACCCAAACCAGAGGCACAGAGAGACGAGAGAAGCTGGAGACACCCAGCTCTGCAGCAGCCACGGCTCCGGCCAGCCTCCTCCTCCCCCTCACGTCTTCAAAGCAGCAGGAATCACAGAGCTGGGCACTTCCTTGGGTGTCGGGATGGACGTGGGCAGGACGCAGCATGACGATGCTACGGGACGTCGGCACCTGCCCTCGCCTTTCGCAACGCGGCCACCTCCGTCCCCGCCTCCCGGAGGCTGTGCTAAGCTTTGCCGGGCGGTACCCATCCTCCGAACGCCTCCTCCAGGTAGCGAGCCACTGCCAGCGTCAGGCGGTCGTTGTAGGAGGCTGCCACCAACTGGATGCCCAGCGGCAAACCCTCACTGCTCAGCCCCAACGGGCACTGCGTGACGGGCAGCCCCAGGACGTTGAAGATGGCTGGAAGAAAGGAGAGGTGGCATCAGAGATCCCCCTCCGCTACCCCAAGCCGAACTGCTGGCTTCCGAGCTTGGGTTGGAAGGGAGTTTAAAGCCCAGCCAGCAGCTCAGGCTCCATCCCAGCTGGCCCAAAGCACCTCCAGGGATGGGGAATCCCAGCTGTATGCACCATCCCCACATGACCCCAAAGCCAGACAGCATTACAGCACAGTGCTGGTATGGAGGAGCTCCAGATGCAGCAGAACCACATAGGGAGCTCCAAGCTGCATCCCAAGACATGGAGCAGCTGCCAGAGCACACTTCATCCCTCTGGACAAGGGCACATGGAAATAAATGCCCACTTCCACATGTCCTTAGCAGAGGACCCCTCCGCTAAGCTGTTGTTGGGGACAGAGACCCCCATGTAGAGCTACTCACCTGTGTAGGCAAAGTTGAAGGGCATGCAGATGGGGTAGTGGTGCCGAGGGGCCACGGTGGGGTGGGGTGGATAGAGTAGCACACCATCCGGGCCCAGCAGCTTCTCCATCTCGGCCTGCAGGCTCTTCCCCATGCTGACCAGCTTGGCGTTGAGGCTAGGGCTGAGTTTCATCACCTTCTCTGTCAGCCCCAGGGCTGCAGGGTGAGAGCAGAACAGGGCTGTGGGTTACACCAGGCGCGAGGCACGCGGCACAGTGCCCTACAGCACCTATGGGCACCGCTTTGGGAAGGGCTTTCAGCCCACCCACAGTTTGAAGGACGGAGCAGAACACTCTCAGCACTCATTAATCAGCAGCGCAGCGCCGCTAACGAGAGCTCCTCGTTAACTGCAGGGCTCCCCATGCTTACCGATGGCCGGCAGCGTGTGTGAGGACATCCCCACCAGCCACTTCAGCAGCTCCCACAGTGGCCACACCGGCTTCCCGTGGTCCCCCAGCAGCTCCGTGAAGCACTGTGCCTCCTGCAACCACACGCACACCTCCTGCAGCAGCAGCCCTGCATGCATTTCCCTTTGCAGGCACTGCGGCTCCTTCCAGCTGCAAAGCAGCAGGTGATGCTTGGGGAGGTGATGCAATGCTGCTAACCCGGTGCTGCCAACCCAGCAGTGCTGGGATGCTATTGCACACGGATCCTGCTTTGCAGCGTGCCCTGAGATGCACAGCAGGGAGTTGGCACCCGCGTGCCTTTGCAAAGAGGTCAAAACACTGCAGTGTCCCCCTGGGCCCCCACGTGTCACCCACCGTCCCGTCGCTGTCCTGCGAGGACATCATGGCTGACCAGATCTGGAAGGAGTACTTCATCTTGTGGATGGATACCCGCTGCACCTGCACCCCCAGATCGCTCTCCAGGTGCTCCACCACCTGGTGGGGACAGAGGGAGGGGTGTGCATCTATCAGGACACAACACACAGCTGAAACCCACGGAGATCGGGGCCGGGGGGAGGTCAGCGGGCCAGAGAGCATTCTGCACCTCCTGTTACAACAGAAACTGCACCCAATGCTTTGGACACAGTTATAAGTGCTGCTTGCAAGGGTGTTGTGCTCCTGCTGCAATGCAGAAAGTTGTCCTTGCACATTTTCCTTCCTACCTTCTTCTGGGCTTGCAGGATCTCTTTTTCCACCGGGTACACAAACATGGAGCCGCCATCGTGGTCCATGCAGAAGAACTTGATTTTCTCCAGTGACACATTTTCATCCAGCTTCAGCCTGCAAAGGGAACAGGGCACTTTGCAACTCCGTGCTCTGGAGCTGCTCACAGGCATGGAAATGCCCCGAGGACATGATGGTGCTGCCCATTCCCCATCCACCCGCTCACCCCACTTTTCCCACCGTAGCTCTGCAAATGCAGCCCTGCTGCAATGCCTCATCGTTTGCAATGCACCCAGCGGGGACACCACGGCTAAGGACAGCACTGCAGCTCTGCATTGCAGCAGGAGAAATGAAATGCTGAGGCAGCAGCACTGCAGCAAGCAGCAGGACCTGCCCCGCCTGCACTCCGCTCCTGCTGGCGCATGCATGCACACTGAGCACCGCTCAGCTGCGTGGCGACCAAACGGTGGTCGGAATGGAAAAACATGATGCGACAACAGGAAAAAAGCAAGCAGAAAACAAAAGGACAGCCGGTTCCAAACGGGAAGTGCAGCTGGAAGCACTGCCAGCAACCTACTTGTGCACCTCAGGGCCAGCCATGACCCGCAGCATCGGCTCCAGGTCCTCAGCGTAGCGGCACATGGGCCCGGTGCATAGGAAGCTTCTCCGCACCCCCTGCGCAATGGGGAACTGCCCATCATTGGGGACCACTCCTGCAAGCAGGGGGAGAGGGGTCGGTCACTGCATGCCACGTCCCAGTGCTACAGCTGCAAGATAGAGCAAGAAGTGCGGGACTGTGGTCTCCTGCCGCCACGCTGCAGCTCAGGGGTTGCACGCAACAGGCCTGCAGAGCTGCCCCCGGGTCTTGTAAAGGTGCCCTGGGGTTTGCAATGCTGCTCCAATTGTTTGTGGTGATGTCCCCAGGGCCACTCTGGGGATTTACAATGGTGCCCCTGGGTTTGCAACGGTGTTCTGGGGTTTGCAATGCCACTGCAAGCATTTGCAGTGGTGCTCCTGGGGGTGCTTGCAATGCTCCTCCAACCTTTTGCAATGACGCTGTGATGTTTCAAATGGTGCCCTCAGGACAACAAAGGTACCCTGGATTTTGGAGGTGCTTGCAGCAGTGCTCACCAGGGTATTTGCAGCCCACACCAACATGCAACAAGGAGGGCAAGCAGCTGGCTGGCAGAGCCAAGCACCCCTAACCCCAGCCAAATGTGCATTGCATCCCTGCTGCCAGGAAAATACCCACGCAGCGCAGCCCTGCCCTGGGAACACATCCCACGCTGAGACTGGGGCACCTCCCACCTCCCCTGCACTTGAGGCTCTGCCATCGGGCGGTTTCCCTTTACTCTGCTCACACAGCAAGTCTGCCCCGTGCAAGAAGCTGCTTGTTCTCTCGCAACTCTCCTCCTCCATGCGTCACCTGTCGTAGGTTTGTGGCCAAAGACACCATTGAAGAACGCCGGCATCCGGATGCTGCCTCCAATGTCGGAGCCCACTCCTATCACGGAGCAGGCGGCTGCAAGAGCGCTGCCCTCCCCACCTGCAGGGCAGAAAACAGAGCAAAGACAGTGGCTTACAGAGCACAGCACCCCACGGCAGACATTCCCCTCGCACCCACACGTTTGCAATGGCTGAGAAACAGAGCAAAGGGATTTTGCTCGCACCTGAGCTGCCGCCCGCGATGTGCTGCAGGTCGTAGGGGTTGTTGGTGCACCCGTACACCTTGTTGCTGGATTCAAACCACATGCACAGCTCGCTGCAGTTGGTCACCCCCAGCGGGATGGCGCCCGCCTGCTTCATCCGCCCCACCACAACGGCATCCGTGGCAGCAATGACACAGAGGCGTTTCACCAGGCCGGATGTGTTGGGCATCCCTGCAAAGAGGATGGGGTCACTGCCCTGCTGGGCTCCTCGCAACAGCCGCGAGCTCGCTGCAAAAGGAGCAGAAGCAAACCCACCGTGCAAGGAGAAAGCCTCCTTAACGGTGAAGGGAACCCCTAGGAAGGGGTACTTCTCCAGGCTGTCATCAGTGCGGCCCTCTGCCAGGAGCTGGTCCACCTGGCGTGCTTCCTGCAGGGCCTCCTCAAACCTGTGACAAACCAGCAAGAGCAGCACGGGGAGAGGCTTCCCCACGAGTTCCCGGGGCCGTTTGCACTCCCAGCACCGAGTGCTCAGAGCCCTACCTGTCCTTGACGACGGCATTGATCAGCGGATTCACCTCCCTGATCCTCTCCACGTACGCCTCCACCACCTCGATGCACTTCACCTGCGAGCAACGACGGGGTGCGGGGCGGTCGGCGGGGGGCCGTGCGGGGCTCCTACCGCCACACGGGACCCCAACAGCACGCATAACCCGGACATCCCCCTCCCCCCCTCCCAACGCACCTGCCGGAGCCGCAAGCGGCGCGCCAACTCCCGGGCGGGTAGCAGGAGCAGCTCGCTGCGGGGCGGCGGGACGGCGCGCCCTGGCGCGGGGCTGGCGGTGCGTGACGGCGCGGGCAGCAATCCCAGCAGCGCCAGGCAGGCGCGGGACACGAGGCGCAGCAGCAGCACCACGAACCGCTCCACGCGCGACAGCGCCATCGCTCCTCGGACGCGCCCCCCGCGCGGGAGGGGGCGGGGCTTGGATGCCGGCGGAAGTGACGTCAGCGAGGCGCGGCGCCGACGCCATGTTGGGGGGGGCGTTGCCTCGGTGACGGGTGGTGGTGGTAACATGGCGGAATGCGTGGCGCGCTCTCAGGGTGGATGGCCTTCGTGTCCATCCACCGAGTGCCTCCCAACCGCTCGGGGCCCACCCGTATCCTGGGGCACCCCCAGCTCAGGGCAGCAGGGCAAGGC